AAAAATTCTGTTACTGTATTTGCCGACTATTGTGGTAACATAAGAGATTGGTTATATTAGTTTATATTGAAATAATCGTAATTTCTACAGCGATTTACTGTAAAAAATTCTATTACTCTACTTACCGACTATTGTGGTAACATAGACAGAGTTATATTAGTTTTGATAATAATTTCTATATCGATATGCTGTAAAAAGCTCTGTTACCATATTTTCCAACTATTGTGGTAACATAAAAGATTTAGATAAGGATATGTTAGTTTGAATTGGAATAATCAAAATTTCTATAACGATTTACTATAAAAAAAATCCATTACTGTACTTACTGACTATTCGTAACATAAGAAAGTTAGATAAGGATATGTTAATTTGTATTAGAATAATCGTGTTTTCTATAGCAATTTACTGTAAAAAAATTTTATTACTGTATTTACTAACTATTGTGATGACATAAGTGATTTACAGTTATTATACTTGCTATTGCGGTGAAATTTATTTTTTATATAACCTGTCATTGTACTTACTCGCTGTAGCGACATAGTGATTTGGATGGGTTAGGTCTATCAAAGTTAATTATAAAAAAACTTCTGTTTTCAACAGAAAAAATTCAATGTATTGCTTAATTTTCAAAAAGCACAAAATCAAATTGTTACATCTCATGTAATCTTCACATCAAATATTATCGTTGACCACTGCTTACAGACTTCATTTTTTAAAATCGAACAGTTTCCGTGCGTACTGTGTGAAGGACCGGGTACCATATTTGGGGACATACCATGTTAAATGCAGTAAATCTAGTTACCAGGTCTTATTTAAGAAGGAGGCTGATAGGGAAGAATGCTCAGGTTTTAATAATGAGGCATTATTTTTGAAGGATACTGTAAGCAGTGGCTAATAGAGTAATAATTCAACAAATTTGAGTATAATTTAAGGCTAAAGTTCTCGCATTTGAATGATAAGACTAAATTTGTACATAATTCCAAACTTTATTTCTTTTATTTGTAATGCATAAAGCTTAATAAATCTTCAGAGCCAAAAAAAATCTAAATACTTTACTAAAATATCATTGCACCATTTTGTAATTTGGAGATTGACTTGAAATCTTGTCAATAAGCATGTGTAAAGTGTAAGTAAAATGATTAGCTTTCATCCTATAAATAAATTCAAAAAAAATATAATAGAAAAAAAAGTTTATCTCAATTACGAACACGTTTTCATGGCTGGCTTAAGTTAGTATTCTTATTTTGGTTCCGGGTCAGAACCACTTCAAGATGCTTTTTTGGTCGGCCTCGCTTTCGAGGCTGGCTCAAGTTAATATTATCATTTTGGTTCTGGGTCGGGACTACTAGATTTTTTTTTGGCCAGCCTCTATTTTTTTTCACAGCAGGTACATTTTCCTTTTTACTTCTAATCCTTCCCTTTTTAGATTATTCAACAGCCTTACTTCTTATAGGGTTGTTGATTATTGGAAGCTTAGGGGATGCCGAAGTATTTTTATGAGTTGAAGCAAGTTTATCGTTAGAGGCATATAGTGCCTCCAAATACTTTTCGAGGTACGATGTAAAATCTGCATATTTGTCAGAGTCCATTGCAACCTTACTTGCAATTTCTCTTGATAGTTGATGAATACGCATAAACTGGATTTGAGAGTTACCTTCACCAAATGATTCATGTGATGTTAAAGTTCCTGTATCTTGTGGTTGTGTACGGCTATAAAAATTGACATAGTCTTTAGCAAGCTCCAACTCAGGTGGGTCCTTTCGCCAGCATTTTGGAAAGTGAACAGGATCGAGTTGAGCGAGAGACATACGAACTGCAACTACAAGGGAATAGCGACAAACTATTCTAGCAAATTCGAGATTGTGGTAGCAACAAGCAAGTACCTTGCCATCATAGCAGACACAACATATAATGTCAGGCCATTCGTAACATGATAGCTTAAAACAACACACTCCATTGTCATCTGTTATTTCCTCACACACATATACATCCTTTTCACTCCATTCTGTCTCAAATTTCTTCCAGACATATTAGGTCAGGCAACTAGCAGCCTGGTTTTTAATTGGATTTGGGAAATCTGAAGGGATGGGGTGAACAAGCTCTTTGTAAGCAAAAATATGTTCTGCCTTTTCGCGAAAATAAAGTGCACGTTCAAAAGCTGCCAAAAATTCTGTGAGCCTTGTTTTACAGTCTACGAAGCCCTTTAAAAGACTGTTCATTGATTCTTCTTTGTATCGACGACATATCAGTAAAAAAATATTCCTTCAAATATGCCGGGCCCACAGTTCATGCCACCGACTAAGAACTTCCAGGTACGACTTTGCCTCGGCATAGTTATCATTTTCCATTATACAATTCTACAGGTCCTCAAACTCGTTTTGATCAATATAATGGTTTAAGCATTTCATAAGATCTGCGTGAAACATATTATATTTTTTTCCAAGTTTAGAGGTCATATTCGACCTTATATTCTTTAATATGTGCCAGATACAAAGGCCATGCTTAGTATCGTGTTTATTGATAAGGACAGAGCGAATAGCATCAGACATAGCCAGATCATTGTCTGTAAGAATAGTGTTAGGTGCGGTGCCAAAAATACATATAAAGGATTCGAATAACCATTCAAAACTTAAGGACGTTTCATCCCGAAGCAACGCGCCAGCAGCGCAGTAAGAGAGACCATTGTTTGTGACACCTGTAAACACCCCAAAGGGCATTGAGAAATAATTGCTCTTATATGTGTTATCATAAACAATTGTGTCATGAAAGCGTATGTATTGCCGCTTTTGTGATGCATATATCCAAAGTACATGCTTAAGTTGATTATTATTGTCCAATTCGAATTCATAAGAAAATTCGGGGTCATTGTTACACTTTTGTTGAAGAAGAAGAAGGAAATCATGAGCTTGGAATTCACTGTGTAACATGTGTTCAGTATCAATCAAATTATACACGTCTTTCATTACCCACGACTTCGTGGCTGGTCCGTATTTTACTATAAGAAGTGATTGGATTTGTGGTACTGCAATTCCTGCTTTTCTCAAGGTAAAAATTTCTTCCTTAATAAAGGTAGGTATTTCGTGATTTGTAGGTGATATATGCATAAGTTGGGGAGGAATAAGGTTGTGATTATGGCAGAGATCAACTTGCGAGATATGATTTTTATCGTCTTCCAGGTTATAATTGAGACGAATTGACCAAGGGCAGTTGCATTTTTTTGATTCTTTGTTTCTGCTTTTCTTATTTGGATCTTTAGGTTTGGGCTTGTACACACCAGAGCGATCGCAGGAAAAAACTTGAGTACTACGCAAACCATCACTATGATTGTTGCCCTTTAAGGAAATCACTTTAAACCCACTTGTTTCCACATACTGATTGGCAACATATTTAAAGGTCTCAAGAGAGGCATAATCCTGGCCATGCTGAAAAAGTGAGTTACCTAATTCTAATAAGGATTTAGGCTCTAATGGGGATTCAGGCTCTAATGGGAACTCAGGCTCTAATGGGGATTCAGGCTCTAATGGGGATTTGGGCTCCAATGGGGATTCGGGTTCTAATGGGGATTCAGAGGATTCAAGTTCTAATGGAGATTCGGGCTCTAATAGGGATTCAGGTAATGGGAATTCAGGTTCTAATGTGGTTTCTAGTTCGAACGAGATCTCTGAGTCTAATGTAAATTCAGGTTCTGGTTCTTAAAATATTAAAGACTGATATTAGCCTTATATAAAACATTGTATAGTATTAAATGATTAAAACCTTACTATGAATAAGCCGCATTTGTGACACTACTTCTAGTTCTATACTGGCCAATATTAAACACAATTTTTTTAAGTCCAAAGGACTTTGGATTGAATTTTTTTATTGCTTAAATTGGGTTGTCTTAATTTGAAAGGTTTGGTTTCTTCGTTTGTATAAAGGTTGGTTTAAAATTTTCATACAATCATACACTTTACCGAACCTATGGTTCTTGTAAAGTATATAGGTTTAAAAGTTCGTTAGATTTTTTTTTTTTTTTCTTAACCTGCACATTATAGCAAAAATTTAACATTCAGTTTGTTGAGCTTATGTGTTCATCTATCTAGGTTCAGTTTAAAGAGAGGCGAATATCTTTCCTCTGATTTCTTTCACCAGCGGGTGCTGGTTTTTAAATCACTGAAATGGTTGTATTGTTAATGGTTGTATTGTTTAAGAGCGTTAATACAAAGAAAATTCTAAAATTTTTGTTTTGTTTTTGTATGTAACACATGCATGCATATGACGCCAAGTATGTACGTACGTACAATTTGTTAGAGGCGATCGATTTTTTAGACCAGAGGTATTGCCTAATGTCGGGTTATTGATCGAAGATTTGTCACATGATTTTCTGTTAATTTGATTGGTTAATAGGCCAGATATATAACTTATATATCTCTGGCCAAAGATGTCTGGAAAAACCCTATATTAATATAATAAATAAATTTAGATATTAAAAATAAATTTTACTCTTAAGAGTCTGATTGTTTATCTTTCATCAAATTAAGCATTTATTATTTTTACAATTTATATAATACTGTTAGTCCCCCAAAACTTGTAAGTATGGTGGATGGGTTTTGTATTGATTTTGAGAGAGTATTAGATTTGAAAAATATTATGTGACAACGGAATGCTAATCTACCAATCAAATTGTAGAAATTTATTAAGTAATTATTTACATGTTATATATAACGTATCATAATTAATATGATCCTACATTAACGGTAATATTATTTAAAATGCTATACACATATGTGCAAAGTCTAACTGCATATGTAGCTATATATTTTTTATGAAATTTTCACACTAACCCTTAAAAAATCAGTTTGATATTTTTTTTTAAAATTGTTTATTTATTTAAATTTTTTTTAATTTTTAATTTTTATAATCTGGAAAAGATATTTATGCTTGGTACTTCTCACTTCAACAGTCATTTATTTCATTACAAGTTCAATTAGTGATATCACGTAGAGTTAGAATAAGTGTTTGATTAGTATAGATAATATTGTCACTTGGCATTGGCTAATTAAGCTGTTAATAAAATGATTGTTGGTGAAGTAAGGCAAATCTGTTTATGCCAACCTGGTTTAGTAGAACTAACTTAAAGAAGAAATAGCAAGAGGAAATGTTAATATTACACAACTAATTTTACAATACAAAAAAATTATTTACAATACTTGATCAGTTCACTAATACATGTTATAGTTGTAATCCAATATAACACTATAATAAAAATAGTGTTGGATTATAATCATAATATGTACTAGTAAACTAATTAAGTATTGTAAAATAATTTTTTTTATGGATTGCACACCATGTATAAAATTGGGTATATAGTATCAATGTTTTCTCCTGTTGGAAGAAACTGATTAAAATAAAAAGAAGGCAATAATCCAAATTGGATGTGATCCTGAATAAGAACATGTTAGTATGCTTAAGAATGTTAATTAAATTCTAAATAGCTTTGAATTCATAAAAGAATGAATAATATAATCAAATGCTTCGGGAATAAAATAATCTGCATTATTCAAATATCTCAATGATATTAGGAAGCAGATTGGGCAGAATTTGCAAAACTATTGTTTTTGACTCACCAGAACTATTTTTACTGATCTAAAAAAAATTCTATCATAAGTCAGGATGACCAAGAAAGTACGGTATCCTAATAGAGATATGATTTATCCTGTTTTTTATTTAGTACAAGATAACTTGTATATTCTAACATATAATATCACAGTAATTAAGATCGATATGAATTTTTTAAGACAAATCAATTAAAAAGATCAAATCAATGCTTTTCGTGAAATCTTGATTAAAAAAAATAAATAAATAAAATTATATTTATTAAAAACTGTAAATAAAAGAATAAAATAAAAATAAAATAAAAAATCTTATCAGGTTAATAATAGTTTAATTAAAAATCCTGTTAATTCAACAATAGACCATTATTATATAAAAAAAATTATTTTTTCTAACTATTAGTTTATTATTTTGTTTATTCAAATTGTATATTTTTACAAAATCTGTTTGGGAAAAAAAAAGACAAAGTCTTCTTAGCCAGAAATTTGTATAATGATCAAAGAAAGATAATATGTGACTATCACCAAAAAAATCTAACAATTACTTAAAAAGAACTTGCAGAGTAGGCCAAAAATGAGTTTAAGCTAGTAAAAGCTCCAGGTTAAAGTACAATTTCTAACATTTTAAAAAGAAAAGATGAATTTAATGAAATATCTTCAAGTAACCTTGAAGTTAAGAGATGTTGCATTGTTATGTTTCCTAAGCTAGATATCACTTTGGCGAACTGAGTATTACAATAAGAACATGGGGCTATATGTCTAAATAGTAATATGATTAAGGCTAAGAAAAAAAGATTAGCAAACATGATGGAAATTTCTAAAAATAATTAGTCCAAATTTTTAAATAGATGGTTACAAGCTTTCCAAGAACAACACAATTTTCATTATTTTAGGTTGTATAGCGAAAGTGGTTCTGCTAATATTGCTGCGATAAATCTAAGCCTTCCTAATATTATTAATACTACTAATGAGTATTCTCTTTGTGATATTTACAATATAGACAAGATAGGTTTGTTTTATACTATGGCTTCTGACTATACAATTGCATCTTGTCAGATTGAAGGATTAAAAAAAGATTGTATAAGAATCATGATTGCATTTACAGCCAATGTAGATGTTATCTATAAACTTCAACCTTTTATTATTAGGCATGCCAAAAATCTAGATGTTTTAAAAAAAAAACAGACAAAGAACTTGAATTCTATTACTATAATAATAAAAAAACATGGATGACTGCTATGTTTTTTCAAGAATGGATAAAAAAATTGGATAAAAAAATGAGAGAATCAAACTGGCACATTTTACTTATTCTTGATAGTGCCCCTTCATATATTACTAGTGCTCTCATCTTGGCTAATGTGAAAGTGCTCATGTTACCCCCACATGCAACATCAAAAATCTAGCCCATGAATGCTGGTATCATTATATCATTCAAACTTTATTATTGTCACTTACAACTTTAATATGCAATTGATCGTAATGAAGCCAGAAAAAAAGATGTATATAAAGTCGATTAATTGCAGGTAGTAATATAATAAAAAGTGGTTAGTTAGTCAAGTTAAAAAATAATAGATTTAAAAATGTTGTGCTTAAGCTAAAAATAAACCATTTTAATATAAAATTTTAAATTCTGTAATCTTTTTTTTTTTCCTTCCTAAGAATTGGTTAAAATTTAATATTAAAAGTTGTTAAAAAAAAAAAAAAAAAATTTAATAAATAAATTTTACTAACTTGTGTCAAATTATATGCTATAAAATGGACAAAGATTGCCTGGAAAGAAGTATTTGCTGAAACAATTATAAAATATTGGTTTTGCATAAAAGTTATGTCTCTTTGTGATGAAAGTAGAGTACCTGCCGCCCCTCTACTATTGTTAAAAGCATTGATGATATGGAAGAAAACCTACCTCCAGATCCAAATGATGAATTAATAGTCAAAGAACTTCAGTAGCAAATAGACACATTATGTGTTCATAATCTAATGCCAATTAAAGATTTACTAAATCTTGAGAAAGAACAAGAAGTACATTACTAATTTACCGATAAAGATCTAATTCAAACTGCGACAGAAGTAGAACAGGTAGAAGAGGAATTCATAATACTGCCTCTAACTGGAGAAGAACAATTGATCATTTTGCATGATACTTTGAGAATCGTGGATGAAAGAATTGATGATAGTGGAGTGATAATGAAAACCTTACACAAGCTTTAATCCTATATTCATGAAGAGGTTTGGAAAGAGAAGGCCAGGAAACAAGTTCAATGTAAATTAGTCAATATTTCACTTGATCAAAGGATGATTTCAATTTTATTCCCTTTTTTTTTCTTCTTTTTATTAAATACTTTGAAGAAATTTTTTGAAAAAAAAAAGTTGCGTATAATTGATCAAAAATAAAATAAAAGTGTTCTTAATGAATTCTTATAGCATTAGCAATGTAAAAGAAAAAAAGTTCTGCTACTAAAGTTTTAGATAGTCTTTCACTAAGTAATAAATACAGAATGATATAAATGAGAACAGACTTATCTGTACATTTTGTGTATGCTGCCTTTTTTTGTCAAGATTAACAGTTAAGTGCTAATTAGTATCTTCGATCCCATCTTTAGCTTAATAATTCATGTTCTGATTGGCTGGTTATTATGTGGCTATGGTCAATAAATTAGAAATGTATATATTGTAGATTACCGGATATCAGGAATGGCAGGTTATTAGATATGTATTAAGGAACAGACCTGGTGGATCGATTTTTAATCGATTATGATAGGATATCAGTTTTGACAGGATCGAAGCCGACAGTATATAGTTTAGCTAAAAAAAAAAAAATATTAGCAATCAAATATTAAATACTATAAAATATTAAAAGAAAATATATAATAAATATTAATATTGAATCAAAAGCACAACTTTTTTCAACAATCCTTTGTATTAAAATACAACAAACTTTTTTTTTCAAAAAACAGTAAACTATGATAGAAAAGAAAAGCATAAGACTGATAAAAACTATAAACTAGTACCTGTTGTTTAGAGATAGTTCTCATATGCTATCTGCTAACAGGCTCAGAGCTTATCACTCACCATGAGGATAGTATTTGTTATTTAGAAGTAGTTCTCATATGCTACTTGCTAACAAGTTCAGAGTTTATCATCTACCTACAAGAAAATCAGCAGTAAACTTGGCTCTTTATGTTC